ATTCCTCTTTTCGTTTCCTTTCACTTTTTTTTTCTTTTTTTTTTTTCTTTTTTCTTTTTTCTTTTCTACATTTTTGTCGCTCGAAAATTACAACTATATATCGTATGAAAAATACATATATATATATATGTATAAACAGTGTATATAAACCATTACTAAATCTGATTCGCTACTAAGCAATGATAGAATTTTCTCGTGGCTAACAATCTCATTCCCAGTTTGTTGGTCCTAGAAATATATATAATTTGACACACATATATCAGCGTTTACTTCGTATATATAATAATATAGAGTAGAAGTGAATAAAAAAATTGCTATTGGTTTCCTCTGTGGATTCTTGATCACTTTAGCGTTCCATTCGCTTTCTCCTTCGCTATATCTCTCTGATTGAATTTCCGCTATACGCGCGTTACATTATTATTAAGTTCTATGTATTTTATACTTAACTGTATAAAAAGAAGTAGTGTCAGCCTAAGGATTTGAAATTAATTAATTACATTGTATAATAAATATATCGTCACTGCCATGAGCTCGCTAAGAAATGAAACGTTGTATTGCCACTGGGGACCATGGCAGTGAGAGTGTGGCAGTGATTAATACACTCGACAATATATAGAACAGCTTAAACACAAGCTTAACAAGCTAGATACACCGTCGTCATACCATCTTACCGCGTACGGGTGAGAAAGAAAACGAATGAAAACAAATTATTAATGTACAGTCGTTATGATGGAATTTATAAATGTAACCGACCATCAACATCGTGACGAGGCAAAGAAAATAAATCAAGATATCAATACATTAAGTTCGTCTAAAGAAAAATCAACAAAGTAAATATTACAGAAAATTCATCGAACCATATTCTTTTGCCGATTCTCGTTTCCAGAAAATCTTAACTTTAATTATTAGTCATTATTAGTCCTTGCATCTTGTGCTATTTCGTCGAATCTCCGATCGATGGTTTTTTCTTCTTCTTCCCTTTTCTTTTTTTTTTTTTTTTTTTTTTTTTTGTTTTTTTATTGCGTTCGTAATATCCTCTGCGCAACACCTAAATATCTCTGCATTTATCTATCACTCTATGTTACGACAATTCTATATAGAACGAGTCGCATACGACAAACATGCGTATGCATAGGACAGGTACAATTCTTCATGTACTGAACATTTAATACTTCGTCCAAGTTTTACGTCTTTATACCAAGCTGATGTTTCTCCTTCGTTATAATATCGCGCGTGTAACTTCAAATTGAAGATCAATTCCCCGAAATGGATAAAGAAATTCGAACGATGAAAAAAAAATGTTTGTACGCTCGTATGAACTGATGAGAAGGGGGGGGGGGAAACTTGTATAATTTTGTACGTCAAAAGAGAGAGAAGTTCACTTCTAAAACGTGCGGAGAAGTATCAACGTTTTATATAGGCGAAAAACTCGTCTGTATAGTGAAGGCATTAGTGTAAATCACAATCATTTGTTCATCTTGTTGTTCAGTATTTCTTCTACAGCAGAACAAGTCTCTGAACTACGTTCTAAAAAAATTGACTAAATTATTGTTGCTTCATTGCTATGCTTTTCGTCGAACAACGGTACAAGATCGCCAGGCGAGAAATTGCAAAGAGAGAGAAGATTAACGTATAGAGAAACATATAGAGAAATGCTATAAAAATGCGTCGTATATTCGTTCACAAGATACTCTAGACAGAATAGTACGTAACTGCGTTAATATATTATCAGTATATATAACCAGTATATATGTTTCCAGTTTTTTTAAAGTTTCTCGAACACCTTTAAATATCGTTCTGCACCGTCCTCCTTTCTCTATTCTTTTCCTTTTTTTGTGCAAATTTCATCGACAGCTTAGATATTTAGATTGCCATGAACAATACACCGTACGCGTTATTTGGCTCGTTAAGTACCATATTTCTCAAGTACAACTAGCAACAAAGCTACAAGGAATTTCGCTCGGCGCATACGTTGAGGAGGATCCGCAAGAAAGAGTTCACTGACGCTGGAGCTTACGTATCTGCTCCTCCAGCTCTTTCACGCGTAACTGACTATTTGCTAGCTGCCTGCGTACCAATCTCAGCTCGTCAGTCTGACGAGCGAATGCTAATCTCAGTTCTGCCTCGTTATTAGGAATGTCCACGTTCTCCAAGACCTTGTTATCGTTCAACGGCGTGGAAATGATATTCTTCTGCAAAACAAGTCAATCAGTCTAACCTGCGTAAACGGTGGACGCGTTTAAAGTTCAAAGTTTACGCTTTACACCGGTTCTACCTGCAGCACAACGTTGCCGAATTTTTGTTGCAACTGTTGAAACTTGGTGCTCTGATTGCTGGACGTTTTCTGGCTTTTCTCCGACATATCGTGGAACTCGATCGGCCTGTAATCCGGCACGGTCTCGGTAGATAGAAAGGCGAATTTCTTTTTATTATTCAAGTCGGTTGTCGGTGGAAGTTGCGGTGGCTTGTACACGCGTGGCTTGTGCGTGGTAATGCTACCGCCTGTTAACATTTGACCGGTAAAATCGGGTCAGACAAGGGCCAAGGAGATAAGACGAGAAGTGAGAAAGTTGAGTCGTACCGGTTTTCAGAGAAATTAAGATCGGTGGACTGTTCATGCCGCTTATCCAGTCCCTGGCTGATAAAGCCGGACAGGTGCCTATCGTATCAGGATACAGGTCCTCTTGAAATTGATCGCTCTAAAATGTGAAAGTTGCTGTTAATTATATACCTTGTCAGGTTACATTCGTTTCCTGCAGTGTCCTGTATACGTACCTTTCGAGGAACTATCATGGATATCGGCTCGCACATTCCTCGAGTCGCGTGCAGTTTGTAAAATCGGAACACTTCGCAGATAGCTGTGTTAACGCCTCTCTTCGGCATTACGCCTAATCCCCTTTGAGGATTCCCAGAGATGAACTGACTGAGATAATGCATCCAGGGTGCTTCGTTTACTACCTCGTAGTATCGAATATTACCGTCACCCTGAAATTAAGAGGAAAGAACATAAAATATTCACTCTTAATATGCACGTCTTTTGCTACAAATTGAAATATGTTATGTATTTTCATAAAATTTTATTAGAGTTTTCCAGTAAATAATGTAGCAAATTGTATGCTGTGTTTCACCTTTCCCGCCAAGTACACCATATTAGTGTCATTGTCATAATATGGGAAAACTACTCCACTGGAAGAGTCAATAGTCTCGCATGTCAGCGGTACGTTCAAATCATGCTGACTCCAAATGGCATACTGTCTGTCAGAGTGACGACTAAAACCTGTCGTAAGAAGACGTCCAGAACTGCCAAGGAAAACGACTTTGCTGGCCTTTGTCCCAGCGTGGCAAATCCCTTCCTGTTGATGATCAATAGAATTACTCTTAGTTTTCTGAATGAAATAATCTCGTGAAAATAATCAAGGGAGAAAGAAAAAAATTGATGAGAGGGTACATACAGAAACCACAATGCCAGATCTTGGTTCGAAAACTCTCAATTTCTTATCCTTGCACGTCGTTGCTAATAAGCTACCGTCACGATTCAACGATATGCTATAGATCACATCAGGATGCCTATCGATCACGTTGACGGCTTCTCCTTTATTTATGTCCCACACGATAACAAGATGATCGAAACCAGCGCTAAATAGCACGTTCTCAGCAACGGGGTGCCATTCTATGTAGGCGACACGACGTTTATGACCTTGCAACTCCACCAACCACTCGGTCAAATTTCGCGACAATCCACCGTCAGGGATGTGCCATAGTTTTATCTGGAAGTTGGAATTAAAGCAGTAAGAAAAATATCGTAAGATATAGACTTCTTAATCCATTAAGGACCAAACGATAATTTCATTCTGTAATATATAATATATATTCTATATTGATTTTTATCATGAATACTTCAATGTTTTTATATATCATAAAATTATAGAATTTAAGTAGAGAATTAATCGTGGAACACTTCATAATGTAATATAAATTGACACAAAATGTTACTGGTCCTTAATGAGATAAAAATGGAACACTTTATAATGTAATATAAATTGATACAAATATAAATTGATAAAAGTGGAACACTTTTAAATTTTATAGTGTATATTTACTACTTTATAATGTAATATAAATTGACACAAAATGTTACTGGTCCTTAATGAGATAAAAATGGAACACTTTATAATGTAATATAAATTGATAAACGTGGAACACTTTTAAATGTTATAGTGTATATATACTACTTTATAATGTAATATAAATTGACACAAAATGTTACTGGCTCTTAATGAGATAAAAATGGAACACTTTATAATGTAATATAAATTGATAAAAGTGGAACACTTTTAAATTTTATAGTGTATATATACTACTTTATAATGTAATATAAATTGATACAAAGTGTTACTGGCCCTTCATTCGAAATTTCCAAATAATTATTTACAAGATTTACAAAGGATCTCAATCAATTTTGAAAGAATCGAGGGTAAAAGAAATGTAGATAAAACGGCAAACTTAAATTACCAAGTAGACTTTACTCTATCTTTTGCGTCGTCTTTTGTAGATAAGACAGAAACAATAAGCTTGAAAGTAGAGCAAAATGTCAAGTCTTAACTTTAACAGAGCATCGTATCCTGTAGATATCAAATGATAGACCAGAAGATCGATGCCATACGGTCTATGATTCAGTCGTTTATGGTAGCAATTTGTCACAGCAGGTCATCCAGTTAATGGATGACGGGATTTCGTTTTCCGCTAGACTTGCTTCGTAGAAAACTGAATTTTACAAGAAATATTATAATCGGAGAGCCCATGAGAAAAAAGTCAATTTTAAGTTCACTACTATTTTTAATAGTTAACGCTTTTTAGTTTAATAATTCTTTAGTAAATGGCCATGCCGTGTTGCGAATTAAAATTCTTTCAGATTTTACATTTACAGACAGGAAAGAAATTATGAAATTGTGTAACGCATTGGAAACTAAATCTTCGTTGTCTGAGAGGTGCTGAAATTTCGCATTCCCCTTCGACTATAAATGTATAATCTACTTCCTTATCAATCGATAAAAGTTTATCTAATATTTAGCGCACCTAACACTAGACGAGCAACCTTCGATCAATAAATATCGCCGACTATTTTAAGCAACATAAGTACATAAAACTAGGAGTACGATCGTACAGTGCAGTCGTCGGAACAGGAAGCAATGATGTTATCGTTGAACGGATTCCATTTAATGTCCAGAACCGGTCCAGTGTGTCCAGTCACTCTGCTAGCGTTAAAATCCAGCCTGCCAGTCTAAAAAATAAAAAAAAAAATAAAAAATAAAAATAAAAAAAAAGAAATGTTCAATCATAATGAACTATTAATTAAAACGATTGAGTAATCTCATTCAATAAATCATTTAAACTTCTTCATTCTTATCTCTATATGTTTCGACGTCTTCGGCTATCCATCAAGAACTTTCTTTTGAAAAGCATTCGATATCCAACATTATTTACGTCAATGTACATTATAGCATATGTGGATTTAGATTAATACACGAATATTACTAAAATAAATTAATAAATTCTGGAAATATATGTAGAACGTACAAAATATATTATGCTTAATATTTAGTATATAATATTACATTTAGTGGAAAAACATCTAGTAAATATGTAATAACATGATAAAAACAGTGAGGATATAATAATCTTCAAATTTTGCACAACATACATAGTGCATATAGATACACGAATTTTTTAAAAAAGAATAAAACTATTGATAGTTGAACTACTTTACTATTAGAAGTTTGAAATTTAATCACGATAGTGCTGAGTTTCATAATAATGTTGATGAATAGACTACATGAATAGGTGTTCGTGCAAATTTGAAATTTTGATGGATCAAATTTAAATTTAAAGATTTCTTTCAGTCACTATGACGAAGTGAGCATGAGAAGAAATGAGTACCACATTATGGGTATATTTTATATGTCATATACATTACATTAAATACATTCTGTGTATCTCACAGTTTCCCGCAAATGGATAAAAAATCTGCTAATGAAATGTATTAAAGTATTTCACGTAACATACATAATGTATTTACATAGTATATTGCACAAGGTAACAGATATATTCTACAAATAATGAAACATTTCTGTATGCCGAATTTCATTCTAAATTTCTATGCTATGAATTTTCCATTATACTTGCTTATGTTTGATAATTTTCCAAGCGACCAATATATATATATATATATATATAT